CTTCGAAAATCTTTGAATTTCCTCGGAAATTAATTCAAACTGCTCTGATAAAGTTCCTTAGAATTAAGTGGCGTTCCGTAACCTCACTTTTTACCTTTGCATCAACTTTGAAAACATAATTTATGACCATATTTATACTCGAATCGGTTTCCAAATGCAGAGAATCAGTAAAACTAATTGATTCACTACATTTTACCATAAAACTTCTTTGATAAAGATCTTTTGAACTGCTCTTGTAAAATTCCTTTACACTTTTCTGAAAAGTTATTTGAAATTCTTTCTAATTGCTTTGGTGAATTTCCTTCAAACTATTCCGATGATGTTTCTTGGAATGTCTATGAAGTTGCTCTCATTAGGTTCCTTTTAACTTTTCTGGTGGAAGTTCCTTCGAATTTCTCTGGAAGCTCCTTTGAAGTTTCTTCAAAGCTCTCTGATGAAGTTCCTTTGGACGACTCTCATGGAGTTGAATTTCCTTCGAATTTCTATGATGAACAACTCTCAAAACGTAAACAAATAAAGCAATATTGGTTGCCATGAATACAAATCTGTAAAACCATTGGAGGCGAACCAGCCCAAGGCTGAAAGCCTCCCTAATAAAGATAAATTAATTAATCTGTAAAACTAGAAGACCTTGAGCCTTTGAAAATTGATGTCAATGTAAACATGACCCTAAATTACGTTTTCAAAGTTGTTGAGCAGGGAAACAGTGAGGTTATGCGACGCCACTGAGTTCTACTGAACTGCTCGGATAAAGTTCCTTCAAACTGCTCTCATCAATTTATCTGATGGAAGTTTATTTAAAGTTCTCTAATGAAGTTCCATGAAGCTTATCTGATAACATTGCTTTGAACTTCTCTAGAAGCTTCTTAGATAAAGATCCTTCAAACTGCTCTCATTGAGTTTCTTTTAATTTCTTCGATGGATGTTTATGTTAAACTTCTGTGATGAAGTTCATTTGAGCTTCTCTGATGAAGGTCCTTCGAACTGCTCTGATGAAATTGCTTCGAACTTCTCTGCAAGCTTCTTTGAAGTTGTCTGATAAAGTTCCTTCAAACTGCTTTCATTGAGTTCCTTTTAATTTCTCCGATGGAAGTTTTTGTGAAGTTCTGAAGCTCCTTGAAGCTTGTCTAATGAAGTTCCTTCGAACTGCGGTGATGAAATTGCTTCCAACTTCTCAGGAAACTTCTTTGAAGGTATCTGATGAAGTTCCTTCGGACTACTCTCATTGCGTTTAATTTCTTTCGAATTTATCTGATAATTTCTATTAAACTACTCTGATAAAGTTCCTTCAAACTGCTCTCATTAAGTTCCTTTTAATTTCTCTGATGTAAGTTTATTAAAAATTCTCTGATGAAGTTCTTTTGAACTGCTCTGATGAAATTGCTACGAACTTCTATGGAAGATTCTTTGAAGTTGTATGTTGAGGTTCATTCGGACTGCTCAAATGGAGTTTCTTTTAACTTCTCTGATCAGTTCTATTGAACTGCTCTGATGAAGTTCCTTCAAACTTCTCTCATTGAGTTCCTTTTAGTTTCTCTAAAGGAAGTGAATTTAAAGTTCTCCGATAAGTTCCTCGGAGCTTGTCCAATGAAGTTCATTTGAACTGCTCTGATTTGAACTTCTATGGAAGCTACTTTGAAGGTCTTTCTCATGGAGTTTTTTTTAACTTCTCTAATCAGTTCTATTGCTCTAGTCTATTCTGCTCTGATGAATTTTATTGCAGCCTGCCATATGAAGTTTTTTCGAGCTGCTCTGGAAGCTCCCTTGAAGTTCCTTTAAAGTTGTCTGACGAATTTCCTTCGGGCTACTCTCATGGAATTCTTTTTAACTTCTCTGATGAAGTTCCTTCGATCTTCTGTGATGAAGTTTCTTCGAACTTCTCTGATGAATTTCCTTCGACTTTCTACGACGAAGTTCTTTTGAACTGCTCTGATACTTCAAACGGCTCTCATTAATTTCTCTGTTGGAAGTTTATTTAACATGCTCTGTAAAATTGTCTTTCAAACTTCTCTGAAAGCGCTCTGTTGAAATTCCGTCAAAGTTCTGTGAAGTTCCTTAGGACTGCTCTCAAGGAGTTCTTTTTAACTTCCTTCTTTGAAATTTTCCAATAAATTGCTTCTGGAAGTTTCTCTAATTTTCGCTACAGCTTGAGCTTAAAAGTTCTCCTGAAGTTTGACATTTTCTCGAAAACCATCGGATATTTTCAGGAAGATCCTTTGAACTTTCCCCGAACGAGAAGTTTAAACTTTTTCCTAAAATTACCTAAACTTCACTGAAAGCTGATGTGATTGTGTCTCGAAGTTCGACTGAGCTTCTCTGGAAGTTCTCTGATTATTCGGGAAGTATCCTGAACTTCTGAGGAATTTTCTTAACGTTTTTTTTAACTTGTCTCAACTCCTCCTTACAGTAAACTTCTCTGGGAGTTATTTGAACTTTTCAGGGAGAAGCTCTTTGCATGCAAAATCCTTGAGCTCTGGTGCTCTGTGATCTTCTTCTGAAGTTTGATCATTTAAGGAAGATCTTCTAAACTTTCCCATTTCTGAAGTACCCCGAATTGCTCTTGTTGAAGTTCCCAGGGTAGCTCCCTGAAGTTCCCTGAGCTTCCCCTGAAGCTTGCTGAAGTTTATCCTGAAGTTTCCTGCACTTCTCCTGAATTATTCTGAACTTCCCTGAATTTCTCCTGAAGTGGTCTAAACTTCTCCTGAATTTGCTTGAATTTCCCTGAACTTCTCCTGAAGTTTTCTGAACTACTCCTAAAGTTAAGTGAAACTGCTTGAATTTCTTCAGAACTTCCTCTGAAGTTCCCTGAGCTTCTCCTGAAGTTCCATGAACTTCCTTGAGCTTCCCTGAAGTATCATGAACTTCTCCTGAAGTTTCATGAACTTCTCCTGAAGTTTCATGAACTTCTCCTGAAGTTTCATGAACTTCTCCTGAAGTTTCATGAACTTCTCCTGAAGTTTCATGAACTTCTCCTGAAGTTTCATGAACTTCTCCTGAAGTTTCATGAACTTCTCCTGAAGTTTCATGAACTTCTCCTGAAGTTTCATGAACTTCTCCTGAAGTTTCAGGAACTTCTTCTGAAGTTTCATGAACTTTTCCTGAAGGTTCAAGAACTTTTCCTGAAGGTTCAAGAACTTCTCCTGAACTTTCATGAAGTTCTCCTGAAGTTTCAGGAACTTCTTCTGAAGTTTCATAAACTTTTCTTGAAGTTTCATGAACTTCTCCTGAATTTATTCTAAACTTCTCCTGAAGTTTCATGAAATTTTCCTCAATTTGAACCTGAACTTCTCCTGAAGCTCCATGAACATCTCCTGAAGCTCCATGAACTTCTCCTGAAGTTTCATGAAATTCTATTGAAGTTTCATGAACTTTTCTTTGAGTTTCAGGAACTTCTCCTGAAGTTTCATGAACTTCTCCTGAAGTTTCATGAACTTCTCCTGAAATTTCATGAACTTCTCCTGAAGTTTCAGGAACTTCTTCTGAAGTTTCATGAACTTTTCTTGAAGTTTCATGAACTTCTCCTGAAGTTTCATGAACTTCTCCTGAAGTTTCATGAACTTCTCCTGAAGTTTCATGAACTTCTCCTGAAGTTTCAGGAATTTCTTCTGAAGTTTCATGAACTTTTCCTGAAGGTTCATGAACTTCTCCTGAAGTTTCATGAACTTCTCCTGAAGTTTCATGAACTTCTCCTGAAGTTTCATGAATTTCTCTTGAAGTTTCATGAACTTCTCCTGAAGTTTCAGGAACTTCTTCTGAAGTTTCATGAACTTTTCCTGAAGGTTCAGGAACTTCTTCTGAAGTTTCATGAACTTTTCTTGAAGTTTCATGAACTTCTCCTGAAGTTTCATGAACTTCTCCTGAAGTTTCATGAACTTCTCCTGAAGTTTCATGAACTTCTCCTGAAGTTTCAGGAATTTCTTCTGAAGTTTCATGAACTTTTCCTGAAGGTTCATGAACTTCTCCTGAAGTTTCATGAACTTCTCCTGAAGTTTCATGAACTTCTCCTGAAGTTTCATGAATTTCTCTTGAAGTTTCATGAACTTCTCCTGAAGTTTCAGGAACTTCTTCTGAAGTTTCATGAACTTTTCCTGAAGGTTCAGGAACTTCTTCTGAAGTTTCATGAACTTTTCCTGAAGTTTCAGGAACTTCTTCTGAAGTTTCATGAACTTCTCCTGAATTTATTCTGAACTTCTCCTGAAGTTTCATGAACTTCTCCTGAAGTTTCAGGAACTTCTTCTGAAGTTTCATAAAATTTTCCTGAAGGTTCATGAACTTCTCCTGAAGTTTCATGAACTTCTCCTGAAGTTTCATGAACTTCTCCTGAAGTTTCATTACCTTCTCCTGAATTTATTCTGAACTTCTCCTGAATTTTCATGAAATTTTCCTCAATTTCTCCTGAAGTTGCCTGAAGTTATCCTGAATTTCTTCTGAACATCTCCTGAAGTTTCATGAACTTCTCCTGAATTTCCCTGAACTCCTCCTGAAGTTCCCTGATCTTTTCCTGAAGCTGCCTGAACTTCCCGAGCTTCCCTGAACTTCTCCTGAGCTGCCCTGAAGTTGCCTGCATTTCCCTGAATTTCTCATGAACATCTCCTAAATATGCCTAAACTTCTTCTCAACTTTCTCTGAAATTATCCCGAAATTGCCTGAACTTCTCCTGAATTCTTCTGAACTTCCCTAAACTTCAAAAGTTGCCTGAACTGCTCCTGAAGTTTCCTGAACTGTTCCTGGAGTTATGTGAAGTTACTTGACCGTCGTTGAATGTCTTACAAAACTTCTGCTGAAGCTCCCGGAGCTTCCTCTGAAGTTGCCTGATTTTGTTTTCCTGAACTTCTTCTGAATGATTGTAGTTCCAAGCTATCAACTGTTTCCTCAAGTGACATGAAATTCGGGCAAATGCTGCTGTATTTCGCCACATCCCGTAGATCGTCTTTCCAATTTCCCGGACAGCCTAGACGCAACATCTAATTCAAATTTCTCGTTCTCCTACCCTTTTCCAGGACACCACCCCCATCATGGACCTGTACGTGTCGGACTCGATGCAGGACATGCTGGACATCGACATCAAATCCGAGGTGGCCACCGTCGTCGGCGGTGTGAACGAGTTCAGCTCCCTGATGAACTTCGACCTACCCTCGTTGGAGCTGGACAGCAACTCGAACGATGCGATCAGCGGATGGGGTGCCGGAGCGCCCGCCAAGTGGCCCTCGAGTGACATCTACGCCGACGTCGGTGCCTGCGTCAATCCAAACTCCGTTATGCCCGTCATCACGTCCGTGCAGACGTCGCTGCTTAAAAGTCCCAAGCAGAACGTGAACCTCAACGCCACGGTCAGTGCGCTGAATGACCCGACGCTACCGAGCCCAAAGGAGCGGAAAAGTCACCTCACCTTCTCGCCCAACACCATCAAAGTGCCGATGGTGGTCCAGCAGGAAGTGAAGAAACCCGTCGCCGTCATCACCACCGGATTGACACAGATCCAGCGGATAAACGGGATCGACCAGGTCAAAAAGGACCTCTCAAGTCAGATGTTGAAAGACGAGGGCAACAACAAGATCGTGATAAGGAATCATCAGCCTCCGAACGGCGCATCCAGTCCGAGTTCCGGACTGGGTATGGGGCTGGGTAAGGGGAATACCATCAAGCTTGCAGCCGGAATCGGTGGGCTGACCTTTGCCAATGGAGTTCAGTTCAAAAATCTGAAGAACGTCCAAAAAATCACCGCGCTCAATGGAGCCCATGGGCTGAATGGGCTCAAACGAGCCTCGAGCCCTGCGCGGAACCTCAGTGCAACCACTACGGTTCACGCCGGTCAGACACAACTGATTGGCATCAACGGGGCATCCCCGAAGATTTTTAACCGCACCTTCATACCTCACAACGGAGGTAAACCGTCCAACATGATGCAAATGACGAATAGTAGCACAGCTGCCGTGACGACCGCCACGCCCAAGACGAAACCCGCCAAGCAGCAAGGAGACAGCGGCTTCCCGAAGCCAGCTTATTCCTATTCCTGCCTGATTGCGATGGCACTGAAGAATTCCTACACCGGATCGCTGCCGGTGTCGGAGATCTACAGCTTCATGTGTATGCATTTCCCGTACTTCAAGACGGCTCCGAACGGGTGGAAGAACTCCGTCCGGCACAACCTGTCGCTGAACAAGTGCTTCGAGAAGATCGAGAAACCGGTGACGAACGGTGGCCAGCGGAAGGGCTGTCTGTGGGCGATGAATCCGGCCAAGATCACCAAAATGGACGAGGAGGTACAGAAGTGGTCCCGCAAGGATCCGATGGCCATCCGGAAGGCGATGGTTCGTCCGGATATGTTGGGAGCGTTGGAAAAGGGAGAAGTGAAACATGGACCCACCGGGGAGAGCGACGAGGGCGAAAATGACGACGCCGATACGGAGGACCATTCGGACATTGAAGCGGTGGAGGGTGAGGAGGAGGAGGTCGATGCCGAGGAGGAGATCGAGATCGAACAGGAGGCGGACAGTTTCATCATCAACACGCCGGAGTCGATGGAGGATCCGGAGGGGGACGATGTGGACGTGGATTTTGATATGGAGGTGAGTCGATTGGTTGAGGGTGGGGGCTGTTATTCATCAGTGATTAATAATCTTCTTTTATTGCAGGTTCCGGACTTTTACGACGACATCAACGTGGATTCCAAGGAAGGCTTTACGCTTGAGTTTGTCCAGAAAGACCTGCTCTCGTTGGATGACGAAGATGAATCGGTGTACATTTCACCCCAGCCGAACAACACCCACCACCAACAGCATCAACAACAGCAACAACATCAGCAGCAGCAGCAGCAGCTATCCTTCCAGCAGTTACAACCGCTGGCAAAGCGAGCGAGGCTCGACGTCAATTACTCCATCTCACCTGCCGTTGGCACTGCTGGAACTGGGACGGTAAACGGCATCAGCACCTCCGCTGCCACTGCTGTGAATACCGTTGTCAATAGCAACGGAACCACCGTCAACCAAATCCAGTTGGCCAATGGGCAACAGTTCCAGTTTACCACGACGACGACCAACGGCAGCCAGCAGCAGTTCCAGCAGATCCACCATCACCAACAGCAGCAACATCACAACCGACGGAAGACCCCACTGGTCACGCGAATAGCTTAAAATAGGACGAAAGCGTGGTAAACTTTCTCGCACCTAGCAATAAGCAAAACAGAATGGTTCTATTTTTGAGTGTTAACATTTATCCCTTTCCCTCGCTCCCCCTTGGTTCCCCCCAGTATTTTCCCCCTCCCCTACATACACAAAAAAAAAGTATACTTTACAACAATTTTAGTTGTGATAATTTAGAACAATTATTGAACGAAGCTAGTGTTTCACACAAAATACAACAAACACACGGTAACGAGAGCGAACAATTTAAACCAGTAAAACCGCAAAACAAACAAAATCAGTTTGACAGATGAACAAGAACCAGCAATTTTAGGATCTCAATAATAGTGTGTACGTGTGTGTGTGTGTGTGCGTTGGAAAAAATGGAACGAAAATGTTGTGTTCTCCCGGCGGAGAGGAAAACGTTTTTGTATTAATTTATCTTTCAAAATGTGATAACAACTTGATTGTGGTAGAGTTTTTCTACGCGTTTTTTTTTTCATCGTGTAAGATCCGGATGATCACGGATTCGATTCGTCCAAACAGTCTCTCTTTCTATTTTTGTGTAATTTAATTTAGGAAACGAATCGAAATCGACGCAGATCTTATCAATCAAATCCACGGACAGACAGAAAGGCGACGGATCCGGCTTTCGTTCCCATCGAATCGTAATGGGCATGGGTTATCACAACCTAACCTCATTTGGGTTTCGTTTGTCTCTGAAGTTTGACAGATTGGAATGAGGTTAGAAAGGCCCGTGCATTCAACGACGATGATTTCTTTTATCGGAGAATAGGAACGGAATATCTACACACTGCCACTCGCCGCTGGAACGAAAGCTGGATCCATCTCTCCTTTTGACACGGTGAGCGCAATTAAGCAACTTACGTTATTATTGTCGTTATTTTCAACATATTTCGTTGTTATTTTTTTTTGTTTTTGGAAACTTCGGCGAAATGTTTTCAGGCCGTTCGCAACATTGTTATTTTGAAACAACACATACAAAATAGGACAGCGTTGGGAACAGCCTGAAAAGCGATGCTGCATTTTTGCATTCAGCAGGAATAACGTCGAATAGAAATTTTGTTTCCATTGCGAGTTCAAGTTCAGTTTTTTAGTTAATAAGTTCAAACCCCCGGCTAGATTGTATCACTTGAGGACAAGTTGTGTGTGGGTGTTTATGAACAAATGTGTTCGTTTTGTACCGTGGAAGCCCCGGAATGGTCATACCTGGACTGTTCCTTACATTTGCGTAAAACAAACGCAACAACAACTATATTCGGTTATTCGGCGTTTAAATGAAAATGGATGTTGATATTCAACCATTTCCCATATAATAAGTAACCAGTGTTTTGGCGAAATTTGAGTCTACAAAGTTTGATATTCGGTTGAAAATTCGACTAACTAAAACCATTCGAGCGTATCTACAGGACGAAGGAAAACGATACGGTTGAGGTCTTCTAGAACTGGATGGCGTAGAAGCGGTTGGCTGCTTTCAACTCAGGGGAAACATGTCAGAAGGGTCTTATTCGAAACGTAAACAATGACTTGGATCGTCGGTTTCTTACGAATGACAACACACTCACTCAAACTAACTAAATCATCTGACAGAGAAATGTTTGTTCTACGAGCTGGTGTAGTCAGAGATTCCGTGGGTGTGCGGTCATACAAGAGAAATCGACGATCAAAGTCATTGTTTACGTTTCGAGTTATACCCTTCTGATATGTTTCCCCTGAACTTATTCCCAAGACACATGATTCTATAACATTTGCCCGAATGATTGTGAAATGTCTGATATTCTGATATCAGATTCTGATTTCCCATCAAACATTCAAATAGGTACAAGAAGCTCAGAAATATTTCAAAGTTCTCCAAAGATCTGCTCATGTTTAAAAGAAGTAAAAATCGTCTCTACAATATTATCTATATAGATTCTGATCAGGGACGTCTGCAATAGTGAATATGCATCTAATTCAAATTGTCGAAAAATTTCCTAAAGTCCATTTTTAAGTCTCAAATTAAATCTCGCCAACAACTCCCCCGCCCCTTCTGAACTGTCTACTTGGTAACGGAGCATTTAGAAGAAAATTCCAAAGATATTTTGAGGAGATTTTAGAATCAATTCTAGAGATAACACCAAAGGTACTTCAGAGAAAAATTCCATTGGAGTTTTGGGAAGAACTCTAATGGTGTTAAGCTGCAATCGGTATTATCTTCGGATTAAATCCCGACTCTAAGCAAACATTTTGCAGATCATTCATACAGGGGGTCGGTATTTAAAGTTAATCCAAATTGGAGCTTACCATCAAATCAATTCAGAGTAGCACGTTTAGGAAGTTCTGCGGAAAATTCCACGACGATTGTAAAGAGGACTTCAGGTCCTTTTCTAATTAGTATTCTAAATCAGTTCTGATACGAATTTTAAGGGCGATGTCCGAGGATATTGAATTCTGAGGAAACTATAAAGTGAATTTTAAATGGAAGGCTGCGAAAAACACCAAAAGAGTCAAATGTTGAGGGTGTGAAATTCAAAAGGGATTCTAAGTTGAGTTTGAATGGAATTCCGTAGATACATCCAAAGGCATCTGGAGGCGAATTTCTAGAGAGTTCTAGGAGAATTCCAAATGAATTTTGATCAAAATTTTGAGACAATTCTAAGGTTCTTAATTGCATTGGAAATTGCGAATCTTAAACTAGGGGGTCAGAACGAAGACCTGTTTCGTTAATAACTCAGCTGCAACCTTGATGCTATCTGAGAACCTCTTTCATCAAACTATGATGCATAAATAGTGCGAAATCTGTTTAGAAAAGCCGCGCTCATCAAGAGAGAAAGTCGATGAAGAGAATCGATCAAAGTCACTTGCACCCCTTAAGAATTATGGAAGGAAGCTTCAGTGAATTCTTGAAGTTTTCTGCAGAGAATTTCTGGACTGTTTAAAAAAATCAAAGGACTCCCACACTGAGTCAAACAAATCTTAAGAATTTCATAAGACAAGACTCATGAACCTGGACTATTTTGAGTCAATAAGACAATTATGAATTCCAGAGGCATGAGTTATGCCTTCCATAAGCACGACTTACGAATGATTATCGTACTACATGAGATACTACCAGTGGTTCTTATACACTTTTAACCTGTCCGATTTCCCAAGCGTTGACAGAGAGCAAATCACGGAGTCAATTCCGATTCCGATCTACTACATTTTATATAACTTTTTAAACTTTCATAAACTAACCAATAAATTCTGTTTCATAAGCCAAACTTATGATTTCCATAAGAAATTCTTTTGTTCGAAAATTAATAAGTGGTTCTTATGGAATTCATACGTTCATTTGCCTCAGTGCAGAGAGAATCTCGAATTTATTTTAGAGGCATTATGAAAAGGGTTCTGAAGGGAATTTTTGTTGGTATCATTATTTAAGAGCTTTTCAGCCTAAAGGTTGGTTCGCCTATGAGTGAAAGGACATTAAAGGCAGCTCTTGAGGACGTCCCAAAGAAATCCGGTAACGAGTTCAAGATAGTTAAAACTTAGACAAGTCTTCGATTTGAACACAGAAACTAACTCAATGGTGCCTTATAGCGAATTTGTTTTTTCTTTTCGTTCCAACCTGGATCAAGATTGGAACTGCCTGTTTTTGACGAACGTCAGTTTGTTCGTTTGTTTTTAAAACCTAGCTCAGGTTGTGGTTTGCTCTGACAAAAATTTCGGTTTCGCACTGGGTTCCAACTCCGATAAAAAACGAATTCGCTATTAGCAAGGACCCGTAACGCCCAGTAACGGTGGTAGATCGCCTTTTCGTGGTGCGTTACTGGTATAAGATCGACCACCAAAGCCTGGTCCTAGCTACTTTAAACTAGGAAAACAGGATTTTTTGACGTAGGACTACGTTTGTGATTTCTATATACAACCGAAACCGAAAATGGAACATATAACAAAATAATGAAAGATTTTGAACATTCATAACTCAGCTGCTCCTGGACCAATTTCAATAATTTTATCACCAGTTGATCAGAAATATTTCTACGCATCTAACGAGAAGCTATTGAAAAAGACAAGCATTGTCCAATGTACAAATAAAAAGTGATAATTTTATCACTGTTAAACATTCTTCCCAAACCCAGTCGTCATAATCGAGTACCACTTGGTTGCACATCATTCTGCTTTAACCTGAAAAGATATAAAACAGCACTGCTGTATGGCATCAGTTCATTTTCGCTTCGGACGGCGTGGTGGTTAGTAAAAGCAGCAGTAGGAAGGTGGTGGCTAGTCCACTCTTTCACACCCAACAAGCAACAATTGACTGGTCGTGGCAAAGGAGGAAAAGATCTTGGTTAAAGAGGCACCAAGCGTCATCGCAAAGTTCTTCGAGACCACCATCCGTCGTCTGGATCGCCCTGGTGATGTCAAGCGTATTTCCGGTCTGATCTACGAGAAAACACAAGGTGTGCTGAAGGTGTTCCTGGAAAATGTGATCCGTGATGCTGTCACCTACTCTGAACACGCCAAGCGTAAGCGGCCATGGCCAATAAAACGGCCCATTTTCAGGGCCAACAAGCTTATAAGAGTTGTCGATGTTTGTCCATATTCAGAACTACAGGCCCCCAACGACCACACAAAATGCTCTCCAGAGTTATAATCAAACTTGGAAGCAGGGGTGCACGTGATGTTCATTGATTCTCTTCATCAACTTTATCTTTGAAAAAAAATACTATAAATTGGATACGCCTACAAATAAACAACGGAAAGAGTTAAGATAATTGATGATTGATCAATTAAAAGAACTAAATGCTCTTCACATTTGTTTCGTCCACTAGCGGTCATACGACAAGCTTCCGTTCGTGACCCTAGGCACAGACCCTTCTACTTTTTTTGTAATCACAACAGACTTTTCACAAGACTCGGGTTCTTCCACCGAGGATAAACATTTAGTTACTTATTTGTCATCCATGTGATTCCTAATCGATCAAGTAGAAGCGATTCTTTCCTAAGTTTCCGTGTTCGAAACCTTTTAAGTTCTTTGAAAATCTTTGTCGTGTTTGAACACTTTAAGACTTCCTTAAACGTCTCTGAAGTTCTCGGAAATTTCCACAGAAGTCTCCGTCTCCGCAACTTACCTCAAGTTTCCATAACATTTCTCAAATATACGGAACCTTTATATTTTTTTGGAATTTTCGATAAAGATCTAAGAATAGCCAAGGAGTTCTCGAAACTTCCGTTGAAAAGCTAGGTTTTGTTAAAGAATTCTCGGACCATATTAGAGTACTTTCCAGAAGTTCCTGTAACTACTCAGAAGTTTTGGAAACTGCTCAGAAGTTCCGTAGACCTCCCATAAATTTCGAAAACATCACAGAAGATCCCAAAATTTCCTGTTCTGTGTACTTCTCACAAATTCCGAGTACTAAAAGATCTAGATCTTCTAGATCTCGGAACGTTCCAGAAATTCCGAGAACGAAATCCTGTAACTTTCCAGAAAATCCGAGAACTTTCCATAAGATCTGAGAACTTTCCACAAATTTCGAAAACTTCCTAGAAGATTATGCAAACTCCAAGAAAATTCCTATAAATTCCCAGAATTTTTGAAAGCATCCCTGAATTACCGAGAGTTTCCACAATTTCCGGGCAAATCCGAGAACTTCTCAGAAATTTCAACAATATTATAGTACTTTCCAGAAGTTCCGAAAACTACTCAGAAGTTTTGGAAATTGTACAGAAGTTCCGTAGACTTCCCATAAATTTCGAGAACATCACAGAAGATGTCCTGTTATGTGTACTTCTCACAATTTCCGAGTACTACTAGATCTAGATCTTCTAGCTTTCGGAACGTCTCAGAAATTCCGAGAACGAAATTCTGTAACTTCCCAGAAAATTTAAGAACTTTCCACAAATTCCGAAAACTTCCTAGAAGATCATACAAACTCCAAAAAAATTCCTATAAATTCCCAGAATTTTTGAAAACATCCCTGAATTACCGAGAGTTTCTACAATTTCCGGGAAAATCCGAGAACTTCTCAGAAATTTCAACAAAATTGTACTACTTTCCAGAAGTTCCGGAAACTGCACAGAAGTTTTGGAAACTGCTCAGAAGTTCCGTAGACTTCCCATAAATTTCGAGAACATCACAGAAGATCCCAAAATTGCCTGTTCTGTGTACTTCTAACAAATTCTAGAAGATCTAGATCTAGATCTTCTAGCTTTCAGGAACGTCTTAGAAACTCCAGGAGCTTCTATAATTTCCAAGAACGAAATCCTGTAACTTCCCAGAAAATCCGAGAACTTCTCCTACATTCCAAAAATATTAGAGAATTTTCCAGAAGTTCCGGTAACTACTCAGAAGATTAGAAAACTTCCCAAAAGTTCTGTGTATTTCTAACAAATTCCGAGTACTACTAGATCTAGATCTTCTATGTCTCGGAACGTCCCAGAAATTTCGACAGTTTCCCAGAAGATTCTCGAGGTCCCTAGCAAATCCGATAAATTCCTAGAACTTTCCAAAAAATCCGAGAATTTCCCAGAACATCACAGAAGATCCAAACATTTCCCGTTCTGTGTACTTCTCACAAATTCCGAGTACTATTAGATCTAGATCTTCTAGATCTCGGAACGTCCCAGAAACTCTGAGAGCTTCTACAATTTCCTAGAACGAAATCCTGTAACTTCCCAGAAAATCCGAGAACTTCTCCAACATTCCAAAAATATTAAAGAATTTTCCAGAAGTTCCGGTAACTACTCAGAAGTTTCGGAGACTACCCATAAATTTCGAGAACTTCATAGAAGATCCAAAAACTTCCCAAAAGTGCTGTGTATTTCTAACAAATTGCGAGTACTACTAGATCTAGATCTTCTGTGTCTCGGAACGTCCCAGAATTTCCGACAGTTTCCCAGAAGATCCTCGAAGTCCTTAGCAAATCCGAGAACTTCTCAGAAATTCCTAGAACTTTCCAAAAAATCCCGAGAATTTCCCAGAACATCACAGAAGATCCAAACATTTCCTGTTCAGTGTACTTCTCACAAATTCCGAGTACTATTAGATCTAGATCTTCTAGATCTTGGAACGTCCCAGAAATTCCGAGAGCTTCTACAATGTCCGAGAACGAAATCCTGTAACTTCCCAGAAAATCTGAGAACTTCTCCAACATTCTAAAAATATCAGAGAATTTTCCAGAAGTTCCGGTAACTACTCAGAAGTTTCGGGGACTACCCATAAATTTCGAGAACTTCATAGAAGATCCAAAAACTTCCCAAAAGTGCTGTGTATTTCTAACAAATTGCGAGTACTACAAGATCTAGATCTTCTGTGTCTCGGAACGTCCCAGAAATTCCGACAGTTTTCCAGAAGATCCTCGAATTCCCTAGAAAATTCGTAGAACTTTCCAAACAATCCGGGAATTTCCCAGAAGATTTCAGAACTTCTCAGAAATCCCAAAAACTTCATAGAAGATCCGAGTACTTCCCGGATATTCTGAGAGCTTTCTAGAATTTTCGAGAGCTTACCATAAGTTCCGAGAATTTCTCTGAAAATCTGAGAGCTTACCAAAAAAATCCGTGCAGTTACAACAAGTTCCGAAAGTATCTAAAAAATTCGGAAAGCTTTCCAGCAATTCCATAAGGTTTCCAGACGATTCAAGAACTTCGTAGGAATTCCAAAACTTCCCCAGAAGATGCGAAAGCTTCTGAACAGTTTCGAGAGTTTCCGAAAGCTTGCCAGAAATTCCGAGAACCTGTTAGACGATTTGCAAATTTCCCAGAAGATTCTAAAAATTACTAGAACTTATGAGGACTCCCAAAAATTCCGAGAATTGCCCTGAATTTCCAACCGATTCTTACAAGAACATCCGAGAGAGCATCACAGATGTTTCTTCCAAGCACTGTTCAGAAGATCCTTGAATTTCCCAGAAGAAGAATAAATTTCCCAGGAATTACGCTTTCCAAAAATTTCGAGAACCTAATTTTTTCTAAAAATTCCAAGAATTTCTCCGAAGATCAAAGAACTTTACAATTATTCAAAGAACGTATCAGAATTTTTGAAAGCATCCCTGAATTACCGAGAGCTTCCACAATTTCCGGGAAAATCCGAGAACTTCTCAAAATGTTCATCAATATTAGAGTACTTTCCAGAAGTTCCGGTAACTACTCAGAAGTTTTGAAAACTGCACAGAAGTTCCGTAGACGTCCCATAAATTTCGAGAACATCACAGAAGATCCCAAAATTTCCTGTTCTGTGTACTTCTCACAAATTTCGAGTACTAATAGATCTAGATCTCGGAACGTCCCGGAAATTCCGAGAGCTTCCACAATTTCCGAGAACGAAATCCTTCCCAGAAAATCCGAGAACTTCTCCAACATTCCAAAAATATTAGAGAATTTTCCAGAAGTTCCGGTAACTACTCAGAAGTTTCGGGGACTACCCATAAATTTCGAGGACTTCATAGAAGCTTCAAAAACTTCCCAAAAGTTCTGTATATTTCTAACAAATTGCGAGTACTACTAGATCTAGATCTTCTATGTCTTGGAAAGTCCCAGAAATTCCGACAGTTTCCCAGAAGATCCTCGAAGTCCTTAGCAAATTCGTAGAACTTTCCAAAAAATCCGAGAATTTCCCAGAAGATTTCAGAACTTCTCAATAGTTCCAAAAGCTTCATAGAAGATCCGAGTACTTCCCGGATATATTGAGAGCTTACCATAAGTTCCGAGAATTTCTCTGAAAATCTGAGAGCTTACCAAAAAAATCCGTGCAGTTACAACAAGTTCCGAAAGTATCTAAAAATTTCGGAGAGCTTTCCAGAAGTTCCATAAAGATTCCAAACGA